TAGCTATAGAGAAAACTCGAAGCATCATTATAGGAAAAATTTTAAGTGCGTTTGAATTTTAAATTTTTACGAAATAGCGTTACGATAACGATTTATCCTGAAACGATTTTAAATATTTGTTATTATTCAAAAAGTATAAGTCGTAGATACTTGAAAATTTTATCAGATATTTAGATTGGCATTTTCTTTACATTATTTAATTTGTCTGAAATGTTAATGTTTAAGTTTAGCAAAGATTTTGGTTGCTTGTATGGGAATCACTTAATTTCTCATAATGTGCATGCATTAATCCATTTATTTGATGATAATAACAATTTTGGCTCATTAGATAGTGTTAGCTGTTTTAAATTTGAAACCTACATTGGTCATTTAAAAAAACTTGTTCATAAAAGTGATTAACCTCTTCAACAAGTTGTAAAAAGATTTGAAGAATGTTCTAGTCTTATTAACAGTCCCACAGTGAACCTAAATAATTAAAAAAATGAAACTTTGTTGAAGAAATATGTTAAAGAACATAATGAAGGTCCATTAATAAGTGACACTATATCTCCTCAATTTAAAATTTTAATTTTAGATAAAATAAAAATAAAAACTCTTATCAATACTGACTTGTATATTGGCTTATATATTAATTCATCTTTTGCATTAGTGAAAGTGATCAATATTTGCTATTGTCAAAGTTTAAAAAAATATATAATATTAGGTAGACAATTCAATAAGCTTGAAAGATTGTTTGAGAAACCCATAAAAAGTGATAAACTTGGTATCTATAAGGTAAGTCACTTTTCTAAAACAATTTGCAAGTAGGTATAACATTGAAGATATATTTACTAAGTACCTATGTTATTTTAACTACAAATGATTTAGAATTTGATATAGCCATTCCAATTATTCATTTTAATAAATAAATGTTGTTATTTTATATAGTAATAGTATATATTATATATCAGTATATTTTAATATAGTTATTACAATAAAATAATCCATGTACCTAAATGTAAATAAATTAAATATACCTACTACTACTTTTCTAAAATTTAGTTTTGTTCATTTTAAATAAACTACTCRGTTTTTTTTTTAACATGCATACAAACTATTTTTTTTTATATGTTTAATGCTTATTCTTTTTAATTATTTTAATAACTGAGAAAATTAATATTTAAAAATATACTTGATTAAAAACATGATTTATTATTATTACTAAAACATACAATTACCTAATACTTGTATATATCATATATGTATATATTATATTATGTTATTATAGAATCATAATGTGGGCTGCAGTACATTTTGATGCAGACAACTCTGTTGATTATGTACCTTCAGGATGGATACGAAAAAATAGAATTAAACTGTTAAGTGGATGGCCAAAGAATGATGCTTCTTTGAAAAACTTCAGGTCAAATCCACACAAACAAACAAGACTTTTACCTATTAAGATCGCCACACACTGCAGCGGTGGTGGTAAAATTCTTTTGTCTTGGTGATGCCACTTCATTTTGCCGTAACCGCCACCGTTACCGCTGCAGTGTGTGGCGACATTTACAAGTGTAGAGTAATTTCTAAAGATATTAATAAGCATTTCAAGTTAACTCATTTAAAAATGTATAAATTTAATTATAAAACATGTTTTATTTTTATTAGCATCATTGTCTGAAGTTAAAATTAAAGCTGAAAAGGCCCAGTTCACATCAGATGTATCGGATATAGATAATTACAAAAAAAAAAAAAACCAAAAATCAAGTTATTAAACAAATTTGCAGCAGCTGTTTTTGAAAAAAAAAGTTCTTTAGCACCAAGGTACATTTATATAGAATATATATCAAACATATTATATACCTATGTCCTATACTCGAGCGTTTACTTTTAGAAATTGTAATAATCTTTAATTCTATAAAAATTTAAAATTATATTATGATGCTGAAATAATAATAAAAAATATTGTTTTTGTAGGTTATTCTTCAGAATATGTTGATGCCGATTGTATAATGGTGAAGAAGAGGTTTTAAATTAAATGAAAGTGATGAATGTTCAGAGAATTGTAAGCTTTATTATATTTAGTCAAATTTGTATTTATTACATTTTACCTTATTTTTAATACTAAACCATAGTTTTTTTTAATAAGTGTTAAGTTTTATATGACAAATTTACTATTTTCTAGTAATATTTCTTTTATAATTATTTATCAAATTACCTATTTTTATTATATAAATTTATATTTTCACAGTATCTGTGATTGATGGCAGCAATGTTGATAAAGACTATATACCTATAAACAAAGATGAAAACACGATGCTACTGAAATCTGGCTTACTAATGGTTTGTATAATTATATAATACTACTATTAAAAATATTATATGCTTACCGTATAATATGGTAATAATTATTTATTTGTAGTTACTYTTGTAAAAATGTAAAAGTAATATACATTATTTATATTACAATCATTAAATTCTGCAGATAGTGAAGTAAATTATCAGAGTATGGATGCAGAAGATATACAAAACAATAAACCAGGTAAATTTTTTAATATTATACATACGCAACCCTATATAAATTAAACATATCTCATTTAAATATAAAATTGAAAAATAATATAGATAATAATTAATATTGTACTAAAATAATTCTAGATTTTAATGCCATTGTAAAGCTACCTATGTAATAATAGTAATAACAAACTATTAACAATATTATTATATAACTGCGTGTGTTTTAGATGAAACACATAATAACTGTGATACTCAAACTCTGTCACAATCGCAGTCTCTACACTCTAAACAAATAGAAACAGTTATTTCTCAGTCATTTATATTGGTAAAGTATTCCATATTTTATGTGTTAAACAGAGTATTTTCTAAAGAATTTAGTCATATAATMAGATTTATTTTTAATTTTATCATTTTTATATTATGAATAATTACAAATGCATAAAATGTTTCTATTAAAAATTTAGTTTGTCTTACTTTTTCTTAGGTTTCAAAAAAGCAACATTAAACTACTTAGCTTTTTAAAAGAAGAAATTGCTTAAATTGCAGACAATCAACAACAAATATTAGAGTATATGCAATCGAACAATGTTAATAAATCTCAAGGTTCTGCTGGTGATCAGAATTGGAAACACAAAGTAGACTACTTCATTCATAATTAGCCCATTTCCACCAAAGAAATATTAATGAATATGGAAGAAAAAATAAAATTGGCCGTTAATTTTAAAAAACAAGTTGTATGTTATTCTTATTTGTATAAAATTAATTTTTTTATGTTATCTTATGAATTAAAATGTTTTTAGGTGTGGGAACTTGTAAGAGTAGGTGGAAAATCATTAAAAAAATAATGAAGAAAGTTTTTGATGAACTAAATATTAATATTATACACGTACTATGGTTTATGTAACAAAGAAAATTTTTCACAATTAAGTATCAGCAAGGCAATTTTTGGTAATGTTATACACATTATTTTATATCTAACTATTTGAATATTTAGCTGATTAGTTTTTTCTGTCAAAATATGTCATGTATGATATTTATATTTTAATTACGAGAGTATAATGATCTTCAAACTATCTTTTTGATTTTTCAGAAGCTGTTAAGTCTTGCATTAAAAATTCATCTGATGACGAAATAATCACCACTATTGGGAAACGGTTGACATGTGCCAAAGAAAGGCTACTATGAAAAAAAAATTAAATAATTGAAATGCATTACTGTATATCCAAAATAATTATTAAAATTTAAATGATTTAAAAATAAAAAATTCAAAGTGAATTTCATTCAAAAATAAATTATTGTTCACTTTATTTAATTACATTTCAAAACATTTTTTATACTTAGGCCATATAATAAATTGTATTCAATGTAATTCAGACAAAATTTTGTTAGACCATAAGGTCTATTACAA